TGCCCGGTTTTTTTTCCTCCCACTTCTCCAATGTTGGCGGTGGACAACATAGTCGCTCACTTCGATACTGTCGTGAAGAGTAGAATTGCTTCACTTAAACACAATTTAATACTACTACTCTTTAACACTGGGGCCTCTCATGGCGTAGCGTGACTTTGACTATGTTTGCAGCTTTTTCTCTTCCTTTCCCAATTTCATTTCAAGTTTAGCAGCTGCCTATGCGAGGTAAAAAATAGCTCATCTTTTTTCTCTTTCTATCTAAGAATCCATCACTGCTGCGATTGATCTTCTTTCTTTCATGCACATCTATCCTCACATACCCATGTTTTTATTCGAGGACCCTGCTTCTTTTATTTCTGTTTGTTTTTTCTCAATTTTGTACCGTGCATAATCTTTATTAACAACTCTTTGCTAGTGCCAGAACTTTTTTTTTCCTTCCTTTTTTTGGGGTAAAAGTAAAACATGGTTGTTGGAAAGTAAAACATGCTTGTTGGAGGCATAGATTCATACAACGGACTCCTACTAGTTCGTGATTGAGGTATAGTTTGTTGATTGAGGTATAGGGAATTTTATCATCTTATTAACTAAATCTCTCAAGCTAATTACATAGTTGAGAGAAATGATGTTAAGAAGGCAAATTTGTTGTAAACTGGGAGCATTTGGTTTGTGGCGAACTAATTGTTGGAAAAATTGGATGATTATGGAGAATAAAATATTTAGCTTGAGGCGTGTCAAGGACACTGTCCTTAAGGATATTTCGCCCACACCGAGATGAATAATATTAGGCGTATCCCCAGGATTCAACAAGCTCTTCGAGCAAAAACAACAAAGATTTATAAGAAGAAAACCCAGCACCAAAGAAAGAAGAAATTTTTTGTTATTTTCACACTGCCCTTCTATATAAAACCAAAGAAGTATATATAGTGCAAAGAAAATGCACACTCTGATATATAAAACTGTCCAAGCCATAAAGGTTTTTTAAAACCTTCAGAAACGTATGCTTCAAAGTTAAAATCATTTCCAAGCCATAATGGCTTTTTAACTTACTATACGTTAAAAACAAAAAAATAACGTAAAAGAAAGGATCAAGCAAGAATTCACTGACAAACAAATCATTAAGAATGCAATTCCAAGAATGCCAAAACGAATCATTAAGAATTCAATGTCAAGAATGCAAAACGTAAAACCATTGAAAGCCACCATCAATTGCCAAACCGTTAAAATTAAATTGTTAATTGAAAATATTCTATCAGTTACAATTCTATCAAGATTATATTAAAATAATGAACCTAGACATAATTGTAAATATTCTTTTTGAGATATTAAAATATTTTTGACTCAACAATCCCCCACATAGTTCAAAAAGAATATTATAATAAAATAAGATAAAACTAAAAAAAAAATTCATGGGTTTTCACAATTGAGCATAATGCGTCGAATCTGGTGTCTCTTGGACTATGAACCAGACCTAGATAAAATAAGATTAAACTTACAGAACAATTGGTGAAGTTTAGAACTTTTATGAACCAAGAATTCTTTTGTAAGTTTAGTGTCTTATCTATCACATTATACTCGCACACACTTTGTTGTTTATCACGGTTTTGCGCTAATAGGCCATGCGCGCACCTGGTTTTCATAAGTGCTCTAGAAATTTCGCCACAAATTTCATAGGAGCGGCCCCACTCCACACTCATATAGGTCCATCCATCAAGTGTATTCTGCAGCACAATACACCACCTATAAAGGCTATGGATTATTAGATTAAGAGTTTAATAACTCAGTCTTTCATTCCTTGCAGTCTTGCACTATATACACACACACACCATAGGAAGGGATATAATTTAATAGTGCACATTTGATCAACTAATGACTTGTTATTACCCATATGAACCTACTTCATGGGATCTCCAATCACATAGGTTGGGTTATCATCATAGTTGATATAACTCAAATTGGCAAAAGTCCCATTCCCCTCGATGGTTCGGATATTAATTTCCTTCCCAAATGTTTAGTCAGAGGATCGGCCAAATTCACTTCTGACTTCACATAATCTATGGAAATAATTCCATCTCTCAGCAGCTGCTTTATCACACTATGTCTCAATCGGATATGTCTACTCTTCCCATTAAAGGATTTATTTTTGGCAATGGCTATTGCAGCTCGGCTATCACAATGCATCGACATAGAGGGTGTCGGTTTAATTCCTAGTGGAATACTCGCCAAAAGGTTTTTTAACCACTCTGTCTCATTGCCGGCTAATTCCAATGCCACAAACTCAGATTCCATGGTAGATCTAGCTATTATTGATTGTTTAGCTGATTTCCATGCCACAACACCCCCACCGAGGGTGACCACATAACCACTAGTGGATTTTGTCTCATCTGAATCAGAGATCCAGTTAGCATCACTGTATCCTTCTAGTACAGTGGGAAATCCACTATATTTAATACCATAGTTCATGGTACTTCTCAAATATTTCATTACTCTTAATAATGCATTCCAATGATCATGACTTGGGTTTTGAGTATATCTACTCAATCTACACGCAACATATGCAATATCAGGTCTAGTAAAATTCATCAAATGCATTAGAATACCAATAACTTGAGCATATTTATTTTGATCTATAACATCTCCCTTATTCTTTTTTAACTGACTACTAGCATCATAAGGAGTGCTTACAGGTACCACATCAAAAGTATCAAATTTTTTAAGAATTCTTTCAACATAATGTTCTTGAGTCAACATCAAACTATTGCCATCTCTTATAATTTTCATGCCTAAAATAACACTAGATTCTCCCATATCTTTCATCTCAAAATTAGAAGACAAGAAAAATTTGGTTTTATGTACCAAATCAAGGCTAGAACTAAAAATAAGCATGTCATCCACATAAAGGCAAATAATAACACATGTACCACTACACATTTTGTATAAACACATTTATCTACTTCAATTGACGAAAAACCATCATTAATCAATAATTGATCAAATTTTTCATGCCATTATTTAGGCGCTTGTTTTAGACCATATAAAGATTTTAGCAATTTACACACTTTATTTTCTTGGTCAGACACTATACAACCCTCAGGTTGCTCCATGTAAATTTCCTCTTCCAAATCACCATTTAAAAATGCAGTTTTAACATCCATTGGTGAATAAAAAGTTTATAAATAGAAGCCAAGACAAGTAAAACACGAATTGAGGAAATTCTAGTTACAGGAGCATAAGTATCAAAAAATTTTATTTCAACAATAGTATTGTTTTCAAGTACATCACTTTTGACTACTAAAAATCTGTATGCTGCTTTCAGCATACCCAATAAACATACAATCAGATGTTTTAGACCCTATTTTTCTTTTCTTAGGATCAAGCAACATAACTTTAGCAAAGCACCCCTACACTTTCAAATATTTCAAATTAGGTGGATACATTTTCCACAACTCATAAGGAGTTTTACCCGTTTTCTTATAAGGAATTTTATTTTGTAAATGACAAGCAGATAAAATGGCTTCACCCCAAAGATTATCCGGAGCACCAGAACTAACAAGCGTGCTATTCATCATTTCCTTTAAAGTCCTATTTGTTCTTTCCGCTACACCATTTGATTGTGGAGAATATGGCGGAGTTATCTCGTGAATTATGCCTTCTTTCTCACAATAATCATTCAACAAAATAAATTCACCACCTCTATCAGATCTAACTCTTTTGATTTTCTTATCTAACTGATTTTCTACTTCAGATTTATAAATTAAAAACTTATCAAAAGCTTCATCTTTATTTCTCAACAAATAAACTTTTGTATATCTAGAAAAATCGTCTATAAAAGTCACATAATATTTTTTCCCTCCTCTAGTCATAGTTTGTTTCAAGTCTCCTAAATCAGTATGAATTAAACTTAATAATTCAGATTCTCTAAATACTGAAGCACATGATTTCTTAGTTTCTTTAGCTTCTGCACAAACTTCACACTTATCAATATTCAAAAAATTAATATTTGAAATAAGACCTTCAGAATGCATTTTTTTAATATAAGATAAACTAACATGTCCTAATTTAACATGCCATAAAGCAAAAGAATCAATCAAGTAAGCAGAAGTACTAGCATTTTCATTGATAACATTGAGTACAAACAAGCCATGGTTATAATAACCCTTGCCAACAAAATTATTATTCTTGGTCAACACGACCTTATCAGATTCAAAAAAACCTTCACCCCCAGTTTTCCTAATAATCCCACAGAGACCAAATTGGCTCGGATACTAGAAACATGCAACACGTCATTCAATGCCAAAATTTTGCCAGATGTGAGTTTGAGAAGAACTTTGCCTTTTCCAAGAATTGGAATCGTCCTTGAGTCACCAAGATATACAACTTCTTCTCCTTCCTCAATTTGGGTGTAAGACACAAAGTCTTTTTTGTTAGCACCAGAATCTAACACCCAGGCTTTCACACTGGCCACAAGGTTCACTTGGGAAACAACTGTAGCAATTATGTCATCCGCTTTGGCTTTAGTTAAGTTTACTTTAGCCTTAGCGGGATTGTCATTCCCAACCCTCTTCCGGCATTGAGCAGCATGATGGCCAGGTTTGCCACACACAAAGCAGTTACCTTTTTTCTTGAAGGTTTGATTGTTGGTTTTGGGCTTATAACCATTTCCTTTATCATACCTGTTATTTGATTTGTTCTGCCGCTTATTGTTCTCCACCAGGTTGGCTCTTGTAGCAATCTCCTTTCCTTTGTCAGCAACAGCTTGCTTGCGATTTGTTTTTTCAATTATAATGTGCTTGACCAAGTCCTTCAGCGACAATTGCTTGTGTTTGTGTTTCATTTGTTGTTTGTAGTCACTCCAAGATTTGGGAAGTTTTTCGATAAGCATACCAGCAACAAACTGTTCGGCAGAGAAATATCTTCAGATTTGAGATCTTCAATCAACTTGTGATATTCGTTGATTTGTGCGGTTATGTCCTTGTCTTCTGTCATCTCCCACTTGTAGTAGTTTCCAATTACAAACTTTTGTTTAGTAGCATCTTCAGCAGTGTACTTTGTTATCATTGACTCCCAGATTTCTTTTGCCTCCTTGTAGGAAACATAGACATTGAACAATTCTTATTAGCATGAACCCATTGATCCATCTGAATGGAAGTTGCTTCAGTTGTCTTAGGATCAGTAAGAGCAAAAGCAACTCCATGCATATCCAAAATAGAATGCACTCGTTCCTGCCAACGCTTAAAAGTATCTCCACCGAAAACCTCAATTTTTGAAACATCAGGAAAAGGTTTGGCATAGGTAATTGGTGATGGAACAGCAACATAAACAGTTGGTGCAGCAGATGTAGTAGCATCAACAACAACATTAGCAGCGTTATTCTCCATAATAACTGCGTGGAAATATACTTAAGATTGTTGGAAAAATTGGATGATTATGGAGAATAAAATATTTAGCTTGAGGCGTGTCAAGGACACTGTCCTTAAGGATATTTCGCCCACACCGAGATGAATAATATTAGGCGTATCCCCAGGATTCAACAAGCTCTTCGAGCAAAAACAACAAAGATTTATAAGAAGAAAACCCAGCACCAAAGAAAGAAGAAATTTTTTGTTATTTTCACACTGCCCTTCTATATAAAACCAAAGAAGTATATATAGTGCAAAGAAAATGCACACTCTGATATATAAAACTGTCCAAGCCATAAAGGTTTTTTAAAACCTTCAGAAACGTATGCTTCAAAGTTAAAATCATTTCCAAGCCATAATGGCTTTTTAACTTACTATACGTTAAAAACAAAAAAATAACGTAAAAGAAAGGATCAAGCAAGAATTCACTGACAAACAAATCATTAAGAATGCAATTCCAAGAATGCCAAAACGAATCATTAAGAATTCAATGTCAAGAATGCAAAACGTAAAACCATTGAAAGCCACCATCAATTGCCAAACCGTTAAAATTAAATTGTTAATTGAAAATATTCTATCAGTTACAATTCTATCAAGATTATATTAAAATAATGAACCTAGACATAATTGTAAATATTCTTTTTGAGATATTAAAATATTTTTGACTCAACACTAATAAAAGTAATAACAATAGATCTTGTCTTATTTATTTGCCGCCATAACATATCGCCGTACCTTAATAGCCATCGAGTTGCTGACCATTCACTTATCATGACTCGCATTGAACTAGGATAATAACTTTACTCACGCATCAGTTCTAGTTTTTTAATCATTTAGAGATTCATTTTGTCCACTTTGCTATGTTTACATGGTTCCTTTTACTGATGTTAAAGCATCATGTTGAGTAGATAATGTGCTTCTTGAGTGTCTGAACTTTCACTTTTATGTTCGCGCTAACTGGATATTGCTATGTCTTTGCAATGGCATCGTAAGAGAGGCTTCAATTAGAGAAAAAATCAAAGTCCTGCTTAATTGTTGTATTGTCTGTTCTGTTGCTCTGAGCAGTCTGTTTGTTTATCAGTTTTGACAAAAATTACATAAAGCTATCAAAGCATACCACTATTATAGCTAATTCTCTTGAAACTCAAGAATTGAGGGTGCATTTTTTTTTTCCTTCTTGCTGAACTTTGAATAACAAGTTTGTCAACTATTAGCAGAAAGATGGATCGAGCAAGGTTGAATAAAAGAACCCGTTGCTCAGGTTCAACACCGTCAGAGGAGTCAGCTTTAGACCTTGAAAAATACTGTTACAGTTATTCTAATCTTCCTTCACTGAGTCCACCAACACTTCAACCTTATGCATCTGCTGGACAACATTCTGAGAGCAATGCTGCATACTTCTCCTGGCCTAGTCGACTGAATGATGCTGCTGAAGAGAGAGCAAACTATTTCGCAAATCTTCAGAAAGGGGTTCTGCCAGAAACTCTTGGCCGATTGCCTGAGGGGCAGCGAGCAACAACATTGCTTGATCTCATGACTATAAGGGCATCTCATAGCAAACTCTTGCGTTGCTACAGTCTCGGTACAGCAATTGGTTTTCGTATTCGACGTGGTGTTTTGACTGATATACCAGCGATACTAGTGTTTGTGTCCAGGAAAGTTCACAAACAATGGCTTAGTCCAATTCAGTGTCTACCTACTGCTTTGGAGGTGATAAAAAAGAATGACTAATTATCTTTTATCCTATTTCCGCCACTCCTCCTGCCAAAGATTTTCCTGAATTAGGACAAAGAAAGCTAATGAAATTAACTTCATTGATTGTGTTTATATTTTTCTACAGTATACCTCCCCCACCCCCCTCCAGACAGGGATTGTTCAATAAAATGTTTGAACTCAACCTATCATTAGAACTCAAAGAATCAACACTTGCCAAAATATGTTAATTCTTGCATCCTTTATTCCTTATTTTGCTGTATGCTTAAATATGTAACTCATTGTCAGGGTCCTGGAGGGGTGTGGTGTGAAGTAGATGTGGTCGAGTTCTCCTATTTTGGTGCACCAGAGCCGACACCGAAGGAACAATTGTATACTGAGATAGTAGATGACCTTCGGGGTAGCGACCCATGTATTGGCTCAGGGTCTCAGGTAGTTTGATGTTTATCATAACTTTATACTCTGAGGATGCTGCGATTGAGGCTTGATCAGTGCACATGATAGTTAAAGTTTAAGCAAATCCCGCATATTGGGAAAATAATAGTATTGCTATTCTCTTTTCAGTAACGGTATTGCTATTTTGTTGAGTCCTGTTAGTTGATCAATTTGCGCATCTTGCATAGCACAGTTATTCGGGTGTGGCAGACCATTGGAGTAATCTATTTCTTTGCTTCTGAGCACATTTTGCATTTTCCTGAAGTGCTTGTCATTCAGTGTTGAACTAGGTTAACTCTTGCCACACTTTTCTGAAACTTTGCAGTAAGGGCAACTTATGTCAGCCATATATTCCTAAGAAGGTATTGAAAATTTTCGAAGCCACACCTTTAATTTTACAACTAAAAACTTAAAAAAAGGGGAAAAGTGTGGAAAATAGGAAGATGATTTCCTGGAATGTTTCCAAGAGTCCATACACTTATATGTGTACAAAGACAGTTGTAGATACCTTTCTCCATTCTCAGATGAGACTCACATCCCTTCTCAGTAAATGGTTCGTCATCAAATCAGTTGAGCTTATTTGGAATCTCCAGGCATTTTAAATTGCATCCTAGCAATGTTAACGCATTAAAAAGTCTGCAGGAAACAGTTTTATTTGTCAATAAATCAGGCATCTTTCAGATCTCCAGACATTATAAACTGCATCCTAGGAAAACAAAGGCATTAAAGAGTCTGCAGAAGAAATCAGTTGTAAACTATTTTTCTCCTTGTCACACGGATCGTACATGTTAATTTCTTAGCGCATTTTATTTTAAACATTCAGGTAGCAAGCCAAGAGACATATGGAACCTTGGGTGCTATTGTGAGGAGCCTATCAGGCAATCGACAAGTTGGTTTCTTGACAAATCGGCATGTTGCTGTTGACTTAGATTACCCAAATCAGAAAATGTTCCATCCTTTACCTCCAACACTTGGACCTGGGGTATATCTCGGTTCAGTCGAGAGAGCTACATCCTTTATCAGAGACGACCTTTGGTATGGCATATTTGCTGGCATAAATCCAGGTAAAGTGTTCTTTTCACCTTCTTTTCTGGTTTGCTGTTGGAAGAACGTTCTGATGCTACAAAATTGTTACTGAAATTTGCTAAATCTATATTTGATTATGATGCCGCACTTATGATTTGGTAAGTGCATCTTTTCATACTACACCTTTCTCCATTATCAATTATGTGTTGTATGAAAATGAAATGCAGTCTAATGATTAAAAAATCACGAGGTTGTCTTGTCTTGTACAAGTATGTAAGAGTTTCAATTCTTGCCGTAATTTCTATTAAATCAATTTTGAATATTAGTTCTTGGCTTTGATAAAAATAGGGGAGGTTAGCTTTGGAGGGTATGCAGAGAGGTAGAGGTAGACCAAAGAGGTATGGGGGAGGTGATTAGGCAGGACATGGAATAGCTTCAACTTGCCGAGGACATGGACCTTGATAGGAGGGCGTGGAGGTTGAGGATTAGTGTAAAAGGATAGTAGTTAGAGGAGCGTATTTCTTTCCCATACCAGTAGTATTAATATTGCTCTTGTATTGTCTTATGCTTAGTTTTCTTTTACTACCTGGCATTTCTGTTTCTCATTCCTATTCCTATTCTTGGTTCTTTCTCTTTAGTTGATCTATTATCGTGTTGTTGTTTACTGCTTGCTGCTATTCCTATTGCTTCTTTTTTATCTTTCCTTGAGCTGAGGGTTTATTGGAAACAACTTCTTTATCCTAACAAGGTGGGGGTAAGGTCTTGAAACATTTCACTCTCTCAGACCCCACTTGTGGGATTACACTGGGTTTGTTGTTGTTGCTTTGATAAAAAATGGAATCTTAAGATTCCAAAAGCTATTGTAGAAACCTAATCATATAACATTGTTTCCTTATTTTGGGTTAATTAAATAGACCTCCCTTCAAATTTAATTGAAATGTGAGAGATATCCCTCCTACATTTGCAAATGGTAGGGACACTCTTGTTAGAAATGAAACGGAATGTTTCTCAAAATACTTTGCTTCTCTTGAACTTTTTTTTTGGATCAAGTAAATTGTAATTTAGTGATATAGCAACTCTTGAACCTTCTCTTTCGTGACTTCTCTCCTCATGGACATTTTCATTCTTTCTCACCATTTTTGCTATCTTTTGTTCTTAAAAAAAGATTTACCAATGCTTTCCTTTAACTTCTTTCTTTGTCATAATTACTACAGCCATTTTCATTGTTATCTTTTCTATTTATTCTCTTCTAATT